AAATTAGCCTGTCTACCTTTTGCCTCTGGGCTTTTCCCTTTCTCTTACTTCTGTAAATCTTACTCTTACTCCATGGCTTGCCGTGTAGCTGGGTGACTGATCCCTGGTTTCACTTCCTCCTCTGGCTCCTAGATCTCTCCTCTCCCAGATTTCTCCTTGTATATAATCTCTCTGCCTGTCAGTCCCACCTATCCTTTCTCCTGCCCTGCCATTGGCTGTTCAGTTCTTTATTAGACCATCAGCTATTTTTACACACAGAATAGGAGGGACATTTTAACAGAAAGATGAACAAAATTTTTCTCAGGGGTAGACACTCCCAGGTGGAGGGAGGATTCTGCCTGGAGACACACTAAGCCATAGCCACGGTGGGAGGCGACTGGAGACCCACAGGGCAGTATCAGTGGCAGCAGCAGTGGGAGGGAGGGAGTGAACAGAGACAGAAGCAGCAGGTCAGAGAAAGGGGAGGAGCTGCTGAGTGAAAACATAGGGTGCTGGCAGGCAGAAGCAGGGAAGGGGATATTTTGGGGAGAGATAGACGCAGAGATGCAGACAGACAGCAAGAGGGGAGGGGGCGGGAATGCAGTGCTCTCAAACCTGGATGAGGGAGCTAATTTGGATAAATTTCTTAGTGATAGGGGATCAGATTTGACTCAGAAGCACCCATTCACGAGCCGTGTCTGGGGCCAGAGGCTACAAAAATTCTGTCCTTTTTCATAAGCCAGGGGCTGGGAAACAGTGTGTGGAATTGTCTCTGAGTAGAACTGTAAGTAAACTGCAAAAACTCTGGGTTTGGTGTCTCAGGTTTCAGCACCAAAATGTTAGTAAATTGATGGCTGAAACTGCGAGGAGACAGTTCAGCCCTAGAGGGCGAAGTATCCCGGACACCTCAAGCTACTTAGAACAAGAGCTCTGCCCTGAAGGTGTCCTGGACACCTGGAGCTGTTTAGCACAGCTCTGATGGCTGGGACTGCAAAGAAACAGCCCAACCTTGGAAAGGAAGGTTTTCTGACTTCTCGGGAGAGTCAGCAAGGAAGGGTATCCTGACTCTTTAGGAAGGTCAGGGTACACCTGGTGTGATGGGGGATGGTCTCCCTGCAGGACACAGCAACCCTGCTCCTCTCCTGGAGAGCCACAATCTCCAACTCAGTGTTACCAGCTCCCCCTTGCTCAGTCCACTATGGGACATCCCAGTAAGTTTCTTCTGTTCAGTTCCCCCTTGCTCAGTCCACTATGGGACGTCCCAGCAAGGTTCTTCTGTTCACCAGTCAATGAAGGTCTTCACCCAATACTCTTTTGAGAAAGAGGTTTATTTGGGAAGGAGGAGTCCAGGAGAGTAACTGCCTCTACCAGGGTGGAGAGAGCAGCTCACAACTGACTGGGTAGGGCGGTTTATATATGATGTCTAGGGGGTGGAGTCAACTGTGATTGGTTAGTTTATTTTCTGCCCAGGGATTGGCCAGTTTTGTGAGCAAGGGGCAGAGATGGCCCTGATTTCAGGGCCAAACTGTGTTTCTTTCACTGGGCTTTCTTGGCTTTTTGACACTACCTCTAAGGCCAGGGCACATTTCTTTCACTGACTCTGATTCTAGGGGCCAAGAGTATTATTTTGGTACTAGTCTCAGAGTCAGGGTATGTTTCCTGGGTTCTGGGTTTGGAGATAAAGTGTTCATTTCTCTGGCTCCGGTCCCAAACACAGGCTGTGTTTCTTTCCCTAGTCCTGGGCCCCAGGGCCAGGATTCTGCTGTCCTGCCCTGTGATTGGTTGATTTCACAAGTCAGTTGGACAGGGGCAGAGATGGCTCTGATCTGAGCTAAACTGTGTTTCTCTCACTGGCTTTATCTGAGCCATCCTTCCCTAATTCTGGGCTCCAGGGTCAGGGTGGGTTTCTCTAGCCAGCCCCGTTTCCCTCCAAGAATATCTTCCAGACAGGAGAATTCCAAGGAGCAGGGTCCGTCCCTGCTCCAGAGCGGGCTGGAGCTACCTGGCGCTAAAGCAATGACCTCAGTAGGTGCCCTGGAAGCCTCTGGGGATCAGAGACATGGAAGGGATCCTGGATCTCTTGTGGGCATGGTTTGGAAGTGGACGGCTTACTGGGTTTAAGATGGTCTGGTGTAGCAGAGGCGGGGGTGAGGGTGGGGGTGGGGAGAGTGAGTGGCTTTCCACGGCCACGCCACACCACGTGGTGACGGGAGGAAGACTCAATTCACCTCGGCCAATGCACCAGCTGAAAAGTTTAAATCCCCCAGTAGTGAGTAATGCTGCTGATGTAATAAGTCAAACCAGGCCAAATTAGTAAGTCCAGGCTTAATCTGAGCAAAGCATTCCTGGGTAGTCCCAGGGGAAGAGGAGAAACCATGATGAAAAGCCAGAAGGGGAAGTCTGTGGGCCAGACCTTAAGAACCCTCCTGGGGTGGAGCTCCTGCTTTCTCAGGGGCGGGGTCTGGAGAGGGGCGGGGCCTGGAGAGGGGCGGGGTCTGTAGAGGGCATCTCTGGGGAAGATCCCCACCAACCATAAAACTTGGGAAGAAGTAAACAAAATCACTTAGTCCTACCATTTATAAAGGATAGCACACATAAGGGTTTGCCACATTTAATATGAGTAGACTTTCTCCTCTAACTCATGGCCATCATTCCACCTTCTCATTGTTATTTTGGTTCCCCGGGTACTTTAAACCCAGGCAGGCGGGTTTAAAGTATGTATGGTGGGCATGTTCCAACCCTTAGACAGACTGCCTAGCTGTAAATGAAAGTTGTCCAATGTTTGCAGTGTTTATAACGTAATTATACTCAAAACTAGTGAAAATCAAATCTAGAAACAGCAAGGCCCAGACCTACCTTACTGAGGTAGTTAAGGGCTCAAAAAGACCCATCTACAGCACTCATATTTAAGGCAGGAGCACAAGGTATCTAGAGATCAATGAATATGACTATATGCGAATTCACCCTCCCACTCAGGTAGTGAAACAAAGTGTCACTAATACCGTCTGAACACAACTAGACCCATTCATTTTACTGTCGAGATATTGGCACACACTGTCAACAAATTCTATCTGAACACAGACAAAATTCACATATTAAAAGGTATTCAATGTTGTGGTACATTCCTGTAACTCCCAGGAACTCAGAAGAAGTAGGATTGCTTGAGTCCCAGAGTTTGAGACAAGGCTAAGATGACATGTAAGACCCATCTTGAAATAAACAAATAAATAAATAGCTTTTCCCCTAGAATTTTCTTTAAAAGTACTACAATGTCCACAAATGAAGTGGTTACTGTTTTCTCACTAATATAAAACACTGAATGTAAACCATGTTATCTTTAATCTGTATATGAAACCTGCTGTCAATTATAATTTGTCATGATATTAAATGATCATTGACGATAAAACATATTCTGTTTCAGGTATGCATAAAGGGCAAAGGAAAGAGATACCTTCAGATCAGTGAAACACAGCAGTAAAAACACACTTGTAAGGAAGCCAGTGGGCACATAAACATAAGCATATCAAATTGGCATATATTCACAATCAGTAGTGCCTGCTCAGAGTCTTTCCGTCATTCTGTCTTACTTCTCTTTTGAAACAAACTGTTGGCTGCTCCAGCAGACATCCTGGACAAACTCAGCTGGAAAAGCATCTCATTTGCATTTCTAGAATCACAACTCGGGGATGAGTCAAATGAGGCCACACTAAATGCACCAGCATAGACCCAGAAGGCAGTCAAGTCTTACAGACAGCTCTCTCCAAACCCATTGCACAATGTCTTTATAGGCATAGGAAAATGAGCCATTAGCATTCTATAACCCAGCTGACCAGTAAAGTCAAGCAAAATGAAAACATCTGTCTACATCCAAATACAATCTTTCATGAAACTACTCTCCACAATTTCCCTGGTGAATATGGATGGCCTGATCATTTATTTGCTCAGCAGATCCATTCTCTTCCTCAGTGGTGGTGTTCCACTTGAACACTACCCAACTTTTCAAACATGCATGAATTCTTTGTACACGCTGAAGTTAGAGACCATAACATACTGCCTAATGACTGTTGTTGATTGTTTTTGCTCTTCTGGCTCTTTGGCTCTTTGGGGGAGCCCACCACCCAGCTCCCAAATAAATCACACATGGAGGCTTATTCTTAATTATAAATGCCCAGACTTAACTTACTTCTTGCCAGCTTTTCTTAAATTATCCTGTCTACCTTGTGCCTCTGGGTCTTTTCCTTTTTCTTACTTCTGTATATCTTACTTTCACTCTTATTCAGTGGCTGGCTGTGTGGCTGTGTGGCTGGCCTCTAGCATCCTCCTCTCCTTGTTCTCTTGCTCCTCCTTCCTCCTCCCAGATTTCTCCTTCTATCTATTCTCTCTGCCTGCCAGTCCTGCCTATCCTTTCTCCTGCCTTGCTATTGGCCATTCAGCTCTTTATTAGACCATCAGGTGTTTTAGACAGGCACAGAACACAGCTTCACAGAGTTAAACAAATGCAACATAAAAGAATGCAACACATCTTTGCATCATTAAACGTTCCATAGCATAAACAAATGTAACACATCTTAAAATAATATTCCACAACAAATGGCTCAAGTCAAAACAAGCCTTGTAACAAGAGATTGATGGTACAAGACTGTGAGGTATTTGTGTAACACTCTGGGAATTACAGAATATTTCAAAATATCTTAGCATTCCCTATACATTGACCTTGAAATCTAAATCTCCAGAGACCACTGGAACATTGCTGATGATCATCTCTGATTGGCCTATTTACATGTTTAGATTTGAGGAAACCCCAGCTTGAATGGTAGAATGCTTGCCTGGCCCATGCAGCATCCTAAGTTTGACCCCGCACTGTGCCCCTTCGCCAAGAAATAGGGAAGTTAATAAGAACTCTTTTTTTCCTGGTTTTTGCCAAGATGCTTGCTGTAGCTTGAATGTGAAATGCCACCCCTCTCCCCAGCAGGCTTATATGTTTCAACACTTGGTGCCTTCCTGGGGATGTTGTTTTAGAGGGTTGAGGAACCTTTAGGAAGTGGGGCTCCTCTGGAGAAAATGGGACTTCTCTGGAGGAAGCGGGACTTCTCTGGAGGAAATGGGACTTCTCTGGAGGAAATGGGGTTCCTCTGGAAGAAGTGGGACTCCTCTGTAGGAAATGGGACTTCTCTGTAGGAAATGGGATTTCTCTGGAGGAAGTGGGGCTCCTCTGGAGGAAATGGGGCTCCTCTGGAGGAAGTGGGGCTCCTCTAGAGGAAGCGGGACTTCTCTGGAGGAAGTGGGACTTCTTTGGAGGAAATGGGACTCCTCTGGAGGAAGTGGGGCTCCTCTGGAGGAAGTGGGGCTCCTCTGGAGGAAATGGGACTTCTCTGGAGGAAGTGGGGCTCCTCTGGAGGAAGTGGGGCTCCTCTGGAGGAAGTGGGACTTCTCTGGAGGAAGTGGGGCTCCTCTAGAGGAAGCGGGACTTCTCTGGAGGAAGTGGGACTTCTCTGGAGGAAGTGGGACTTCTCTGGAGGAAGTGGGGCTCCTCTGGAGGAAGCGGGACTTCTCTGGAGGAAGTGGGACTTCTTTGGAGGAAATGGGACTCCTCTGGAGGAAGTGGGGCTCCTCTGGAGGAAGTGGGGCTCCTCTGGAGGAAATGGGACTTCTCTGGAGGAAGTGGGGCTCCTCTGGAGGAAGTGGGGCTCCTCTGGAGGAAATGGGACTTCTCTGGAGGAAGTGGACTCCTTTGGAGGAAGTGAGGTTTCTCTGGAGGAAGTCCATCACTAGAGGCAGAGCTTGAGATTTTATACCTGTACACATTTTTGGTCCCCTCTCTGTTTCCTGTTCTTCCCTAATGTGAAGGAAAAGGTTCCTAGCTCCACATTCCTGATACATGGGTCCTCTTGTAGCCATGCCCACCCCTCCATGATAGACAGCACCCTCAAACTGTGACCCAAAATAAGTCCTTCCGTGGTTTCTCGTCAAGTATTGGTCACAGTCACAAGTAAAGAACCGAACGTTGCATTCCACAGAGATACCAAACTGTTTGTCCAAATCAATGCGCTTAGGAGGAATTGGTGAGGACACCATCAGCGTTTCTAGACAACTACAGATTGCCTCATTGCATTGTTCAACAACTTCAAAATCCATTTCATTCATTTTGCCTCCATCTTTCCATTCCTCCTTTTCTATATGGCACGGACTTAGAGGGCAAAGTGTTCTGGACCCCGAGATGTTTTCTTTTTATTCATATTACAGAGGTAAGGTGGCTAATTTATACATCACAGGAAATAAAACAGCAGTGGATATGGCTGATGCAAAACAGATGTACAGAACTACTGGCAGGTCTGGGTAGTGTCCTTGAAAAATTCCGATTACTGCAGGAATAGCCATTTCTCCCAGGGTACCGCCAATTACAAAGAAGGCTGTGGATTTCCCAGTTAAGGCGGTGTACTGCTCGATCCAGGAAACTCCACTGGGAAATGTGACTGCCAATGAGGCTCCATACACAGAAGTTGCGATCCAGAGACAAAGAGGGCTCTTGTGAAAAAGGACCAGAAAGAAAGTTGAGACAAGACTGCCAGTGTTGCTCAATACGATCATGGTTCCAGGCTGTAAGAGTGTTGCAAAGAAGATGGCCAGGCCCCTGCAGGCTGCAAAGGTCCCCCAGAAGATGGAGTTCAAGCCGGCTGCTTCACTTTCTTCCATGCCAACATGGGTGGTGGCAAAGGAGAATATGAAAGAGCCGTAGGTCACCTCGGCTCCAACGTAAAAGAAGAAGAAAAGGAAGAGGAGACAGAGCAGGGCCCTGTGATGTTTAGCTCTTCGAGCTCCCTCAGCGGTTGCCATAGATTTTTTCTGCCTCGTGCATTTCTTACAAAACAGACCAAACAGAAAGACAGAGACTACTAAGACATAGGTGCCGATGAAAGCATAGGTCCACAGCAGGTTCATGTCCTCAGGTGCTGCAAACAGAGAGTCTGAGGTGGCTCCAGAGGATCGGTTCAGCATCAGAGGGACAAAGTCTGTCTCTGTGTGGTTCTGAGCGGATGCTGTCGTCCCCCAGGCCAGTTTAGCCAGCAGGGGAGCCAGGAAGGCACCCAAGGCAAAACTGAAGTGCAAGGCCTGCATGTGTGGGGCTCCTTTGTCCCCCCAAAGAGCCAAGATGAGGACGTTCCCACCTGCCAATGAAACATGGGGAAAATCATCTGCTAGACATGGTAACTTAGTAAAATTACGAAGATCGAAGATCGAGGATCGGGGTGGAGTGACAGCTCAGCGGTTAAGAGTACTTATTGCTCTTTCAGAGAACCAGAATTGGGTTTCCAGCATCCACATCTAGTGGTTTACAAGCCCTATAACCCCAGTTCCCAGTGGGATCAGCAACCTCTCCTCCTTGGACACGTACACTCATGTGTACATGCCCACATATAGACATAAATGCATACACATAATTAAAAATAGTAAAAATAACAATCTAAAGAACCTTATAAAAACAAAGTTTCATTTCTTCTGGGATAATCTTTTTGTACACTATGAAGGTGCGTCTCTGCCTAAGGCACCTTCTGATTGGTTTAATAAAGAACTGAATGGCCAATAGCTAGACAGGAGAGATTAGGTAGAAGAGAATAGGTGGGACTTCCAGGGAGAGGGAGGAACTCTGGGAAGAAGAAAGGCAGGTTTAGCCAGCAAGACGTGGAGCAAGTCCAACATACAGTATGGAGGAATGGTAACAAGCCATGTGGCAGAGCATAGGTAAATATAAATATAAATATAAATATAAATAATATAAATATAAATATAAATATAAATAAAAGCTAGTTGGGAACAAGCCTAAGCTAAGGCCAAGCTTTCATAACTAATAAGAAGTCTCTGTGTCATTATTTGGGAACTGGCAGTCCAAAGAATGACTGGCTATACTCAGTGCCATGAGAAAGCAGATGAATATGCATTGCACAGTGTGAGCATGACAGACGTTCTAAGTAATCAAATGCCAGATGTGAGTTGATTATGTGGTTAAAGATCTGTAATGCACCACCAAGAACTATGCATTGTAATGTCTTATAGACATGACCTAAAGGCTGGTGATCACCACCTTCTAGAACCAGATACATTTGCAAAGGTTTTTACAAAATAGTGTAAATGCCTCACTGGGGGTATAATATTTATCCATGTACTTGTTACTATGTATGTGATAAATATATGCAATAAACACATTGCATAAATTATAATATATTTAATAAATATATTTCAAACTTTAATAAATATATTGCACATTTTTAGCTTTATGTATTTGGAGCTGGCAGCAACCAAAGATTATTTATTTATGAGCAAAGCACCTAGTTAGGACCTGGATGCTCCTGTTACAGGAAACAAAAATATCTTCTAGGTGATAGTGTAATTTTGTCCACTTTCCCTAAGTCCAACACTCGGAGTCACTGACCTGTATCCAGAGCGCCAAATGAAACACCAAATACAGACATCATGGCAATCAGTAATGTTGCTGTCTTGCAGAAAGGAATAAGATAAAGACCAATTGTGGTGGCCAACATTGACATCCCTAAAAGAAGGGTGAGAATGTCAGCTATAGAAGCAGCATTCACACAGAGTCAAGCCAACGTCGTAAAAACAGAAATGAAAGTAAGGTCACATGAAAACTAGATAACTTGAGAATTTCTACAAATGGCTTATGTCTTGTAAATATTATATTATATTTATGGATTAAAAGTAATCAAAATAATTACTGGGTGTGACCATGTACATCTTTAATTCCAGCATTTGGGGGGCAGAGGCAGGTAAATCTCTGTGAATTTGAGGACAGTTTGGTCTATGTAATAAGTTCTAGGACAGCCAGGGCTACATAGAGAAACCCTGCCTCAAATCTCTCTCTCTCTCTCTCTCTGTATATATACTATAAACTATGACCTGAGGACCATTGTAATACTACAAATAAATTGTAAACAGGTGTGGCAGGTGTGGAGAGCTCATTCTGACCTCTGCAGCCCTGGGAACCTGCCCTACCTTCAAATATGCAGAGCTGTGTGGCCAAGCAGTGTGTGACTTGAGAGTGGAACCTCAGGACCGCCAACACACAAACTGAAGAGTTCCCAGAGGGCTCAGTACAGATTCCCTCCACCAGCCGAGGTAGAGACAGGACCCATGGAAGCCCAGTTGCCGGGAAGGTACCCACACACTACCCATTTCTGTTGTCGAGTCTGAATTAAGGCTGCACTTTTCATACTTAGAGCCAAGTTGTGAACAAAAGTTGATGTTTACTTACCTAAAAGTAAGAAATGATTCATATAGTCGAAAAGCGCCCCGCCAACCACAGAGCCACACAAGTAGCCGAGGGCGCGGCCCACGAAGACTTCCGAAAGGCTGCTGATGTTCCGGTTCACATTCCTTGCCAGGTCTGGAAATGTGGGTCCCAATATGGCAACAGTCATTCCCTGAAATTAACAAAGATGAAAGATCTACTTGCAAACAAGGTAATATATATTTCATTTTTGTCTACTACCAAAAAGGTGAGGAGTGGTGTGGTGATATTTTAATTGTGCTGAAGTGTGATTTTATTTGTATGTTAATAAATAAAGTTTGCCTGGAGATCAGAAGTCATTTGCAAGTCAGGAACAGCAGTCAGGTGGTGGTAGCCCACACCCTTAATCTGATCACATGGCAGGCAGAGTCTCTGTGTGTTCAAGGACACAGCCAAGCGAACCTTTAATCCCAGTACCAACCATAGAGACCTGGAGGTCTGTATAGACAGGCAGTGACCAGGAAGTCATGTGGTTGGGTTTAGAGCCAATGAGAAGGCAGAACAGAAAGGCAATAAAAAGACAAGTCAGACAGGAAGAAACTCTCTCTCAGGGGAAGGATGGAAGTGAGTGGTAAGTTAAAGGTGGTCTTGGCTCTTCGCTAGTGCTCTGATCTCTTGGGCTTTTAACTCTGTATTTGGCTCTGTGTTTCTTATTAATAAGACTGTTTAGAAATTCGTCTACAGAGTGGGTTATAAAGCAGAAATTTATTTTAAGGCCCATTCACAGTAGGAAAAACTTTACAATGATGATGATACTAATATTATAGAGCCATAGATCCTGACTGATTTTCTTCATTTCAAAATTTTTTTCTCTCCAAAACTATTGGATTATTTTTAAAAATATTAAAGGTTTGTTGACTTTTATTTACGTTTGTGGGTGTTTTACATGCGTGTGCAGCACAGGTGTGCAGTGCTCAAGGATGCTAGAAGAGAGCATCAGACCCCTTGGAACTAGAGTTATGGATGCTGTGAGCTGCCATGTGGATGATGAGAATTGAACCCGGGTCCTCTAGAAGAATAGCTAGTGTTCTTAACTGCTGAGCTATCTCTCCAGCCAAAAATGACTTAATTTTTAAAGCTTTTCCCCATTTAAATAAAAGTTCATAAGAAGCTGGATGTAAGTACCTTTGATCTCAGCACTTGGGAGACAGAGGTAGGCAGACCTGTGATTCAAGGCCAGCCTGATCTACACAGTGAGTTCTGAGACAGCCAGGGCCATACAGACAAACCATATCTTGAAAATCAACACAAGATACGCTCACCCTGCACCTATTGGGAACAGGTAAGGCCTCAACCTCTGGACTGGAAAGCCCAGTTCTCTAGCCCCTAGGCCCCGTGGGCACTTTTCGTGTCCCCCCACCCCATCCCCAGCCAGTGCAGCCCCAGAGACGAGCAGTAGCCTCTTCCCACTCCCACCCCTCACAAACCATCCCCTGTGGCACCAGCGACTACTGGAGACATACACCCCCTCCTGGACTGATTGGGAAGAAGAGCAACCACAGGAGCCAGAGGCTCCACCTGCACCAATGGAAAGAACAGCTACTTGGAGCTCCACCTGTTCAGATTAAAGAAAAAAAATGGGTGGATGGCCGTTTAAGAACACATTAAACAACATAAAGAGAAATACAATACCACCAGAACCTAGTGATCCAACAGGAAGACCTGAACATCTCAAAGCAGATGATCCAGAAGAAAACGACCTTAAAAACAACCTTATGAAGATGACAGAGACCCTAAAAGAAGAAATGAAAAATTCCCTTAAAGATTTGGAGGAAAAGACAAACAAAAAATTGGAGGAAATCAAGAAATCTCTTGAAGAAAGTCAAGAAGCACAAGAGAAAAACAATCAAACAGATGAAGGAAACAGTTCAAGACTGGAAAACTGAAACAGAGGCAATAACGGAAACACAAACTGAGGGAATTCTGGAAAAGGAAAATCAGAGGTAAGCAAACAGAAACTACAGAGGCAAGCATAACCAACAGAATACAGGAAATGAAAGAGAGAATCTCAGGCATTGAGGATACAATAGAGAAAATAGATTCATCGGTCAAAGAAAATGTTAAATCCAGCAAATTTTTAACACAAAATATCCAGGAAATCTGGGACACCATGAAAAGATCAAACATAAGAAAAATAGGGACAGAAGAAGGAGGAGAATTCCAGCTCAAAGGCGTAGAAAATATATTCAACAAAATTAGAGAAGAAAACTTTCCCAACCTAAAGAAGAATATGTCTATGAAGATGCATACAGAACACCAAATAGACTGGACCATAAAAAAAAGTCCCCTTGCCACATAATAGTCAAAACACTAAACATAAATAATAAAGAAAGAATATTAAAAGCAGCAAAGTAAAAAAGGTCGAGTAACATATAAAGGCAGACCTATCAGAATTACACTGAACTTCTCAATGGAAACTCTGAAAGCCAGAAGGTCCTGGACAGACATTTTGCAGATACTAAGAGACCACAGATGCCCCCTCAGACTACTATACCCATCAAAGATTTTAATCACTGTAGATGGAGAAAACAAGATATTCCATGACAAAACCAGGCTTAAACATTACATATCTACAAATCCAGCCCTAAAGAAAGTACTAGAAGGAAAACTCCAATCCAAGGAAGTTAGCTGCAACCACCAAAACACAGGCAATAGATAATCTGACACCAGCAAATCCCAAAGAAGGGAAACACACACACACACTACCACCAAAAAAATGACAGGAATTAACAATCACTTGTCATTAATATCCCTTAATATCAATGGACTCAATTTGCCTATAAAAAGACACAGACTAGCAGAATGGACAAAAAACAGAATCCATCCTTCTACTGTGTACAAGAAACACACCTCAACCTCAAAGACAGACATTACCTCAGAGTAAAGGATTGGGAAAAAACTTTCCAAACAAATGGACCTAAGAAACAATCTGATATCCTAATATCTAACAAAATAGATTTCAAATTAAAATCAATCAAAAGAGATGGAGAAGGACATTTCATATTCATCACAGGAAAAATCCATCAAGATGAAGCCTCAATTCTGAACATTTATGCCCCAAATACAAGGGCACTGACATTCGTAAATGAAACATTACTAAAGCTCAAATCGCCCATCAAACCCCATGCACTGATAGTGGGAGACTTCAACACCTCTCTCTCACCATTGGACAGGTCTGCCAGGCAGAAACTTAACAGAGAAATAAGGAAACTAACAGGTGTTATGACTCAAATGGACCTAACAGACATCTATAGAACATTTCACCCAAACACAAAAGAATATACATACTTTTCAGCACCCCATGAAACCTTTTCCAAAACTGACCTCATACTTAGTAACAAAACAAATCTCAACAGAAACAAACAAACAAAAATTGGAATAACCCTCTGTGTCTTATTGGATCATCATGGCTTAAAGTTAGAATTCAACAACAACACAAAATGCAGAAAGCCTACAAACTCATTGAAACCGAATAATGCTCAACTGAATCACCACTGACGGGGTCAAAGGAAGAAAGAAAGAAAGAAATTAAAGACTTCCTAGAATTCAATGAAAATGAATGCAGAACATACCCAAACTTATGGGACACTATGAAAGCAGTGCTAAGAGGAAAGTTCATAGCAGTAAGTACCTGCATAAAGAAGTTGGAGAAATCTCACACTAGCAACCCAACAGCACACCTGAAAGCTCTAGAACAAAAAGCAAACTCACCTAGGAGGAGTAGAAGACAGGAAATAATCAAACTGAGGGCTAACGTGAATAAAATAGAAACAAAGAGAACAATACAAAGAATCAATGAAACAAAGAGTTGGTTCTTTGAGAAAACCAACAAGATAGACAACCCCTTATCTAAACTAACCAAAAAATAGAGAGATAATATCCAAATTAACAAAATCAGAGCTGGGCAGTGGTGGCATACACCTTTAATCCCAGCACTTGGGAGGTATAGCCAGGTAGATCTCTGTGAATTCAAGGCCAGGCTGGTCTACAGAGTGAGACCCAGGACAGGCACCAAAACTACACAGAGAAACCCTGTCTCTAAACAAACAAACAAACAAACAAAACAAAATCAGAAATGAAAAGGGGGGCATAACAGACACTTAGGAAACCCAGAGAATCATTAGATCATACTTCAAAAAACCTGTACTCCACAAAATTGGAAAATGTAAAAGAAATGGACAATTTTTGGATAGGTACCACACACCAAAGTTAAATCAAGATCAGATAAACAATTTAAATAGAGCCATAACCCCTAAGGAAATAGAAGCAGTCATCAAGTCTCCCAACCAAAAAAAACCCAGGGCCAGATGGTTTTACCACAGAATTCTACCAGAATTTCAAGGAACAGCTAATACCAATACTCCTGAAATTGTTTTGAATAATAGAAACAGAAGGAACATTGCAAAAACTCTTTTTATGAGGCTACAGTTACTCTGATACCCAAATCACATAAAGACACAAGTAGGAAAGAGAATTACAGACCAATCTCCCTCATGAACATTGATACAAAAATTCTCAATAAAGTACTAGGAAACTGAATCCAAGAACATATCAAAAAAAATCATCCACCATGATCAAGTAGGCTTTATCCTAGAGATGCAAGGATGGTTCAACATACAAAAAAATCTGTCAATGTAGCCCACCATATAAACAAACTGAAAGAAAAAAAAAGTGATCATCTCATTAGATGCTAAAAAAGACTTTGACAAAATCCAGCACCCCTTCATGATAAAGGTCTTGGAGAGATCAGGGATACAAAGAACATTCCTAAACATAATAAAGGCAATATACAGCAAACCAACAGTCATCAACAAACTAAATGGCGAGAAACTCAGAGCAATTCCACTAAAATCAGGAACAAGACAAGGCTGTCCACTCTCTCCATACCTATGCAATATAGTACTCGAAGTTCTAGCTAGAGCAATAAGACAACAAAAGGAGATCAAGGGGATACAAATTGGAAAGGAAGAAGTCAAACTTTCACTATTTGCTAATAATATGATAGTATACATAAGTGACCCCAAAAATTCTACCAAGGAACTCCTACAGCTGATAAACACTTTTAGTAATATGGCAGGATACAAGATCAACTCAAAAAAATCAGTAGCCTTCCTATGTACAAATGATAAATGG